GTGGGGGGGGGTGGGGGGGGAGAATCCAATGGATATTAAACAAAATGTCTGTTCCACAGTCATGAATTCTTGAAGACTGAGAATAAGTTTGTATGTTTACCTTGTAAACCTTTCCCTAAGGCAATCCCTTCAAATCCCTTAGGTCACCACCTAAGGGAAGAGATTATTTGGCTGTATGGACCTTTGAAAGACACAGTACAGCTGTTTGTATTTTTATATTGTGGTTCTCACTGTAAATTCTGGATCTGAATGACAATGCTCTGTATTGGTAAGGAATTACTTTTACTAAAAGTGTGCATGAAAGGAGTGAATTTTTAAGGATATAATAGGGTTTGAATTTCTGCAGCAACTTTCCTTTTGGTCTGGCTATTGCCTGAAACCCAGTAAGATTCCTGCCAACTATCCAAGTTTCTGTGCTCTCTCCAAATCTGTTTCTTTCTAGTTGTCCACCTTTTTCCCTTGTAGGGGATCATTGTAGAGATGCCCCTTTGGTATCTTTAGCCATTTGAAAATTAGGACTGTCCTGACCATTTTTGCCAGTGAGTTTAATTTGTTCTGAAATTATAATATCCAACTTGTGTATCTTTTCTACATAGCCTTGATCAGACTGGGTAAACCAGCTTGAGAGTGCCCCTCTCTCTGAGTAGAGTGTGCGCATGTATATGTATTTCAGCAGTTTTTTCCACTTCTAATTAAAGATGGATGCTATTTTAAATGCAAGGGAAATCTCATTCTCAGAGTTTTGCAAATATATGTCAAGGCGCAGCAAAATCCTGTAATGTTTGTCTTTTTTATCTTTCACTGTGGTTTTTGGGTATTCAGAAAGTTGTTTCTATGACTTCCAGTGCACAGTAACACTGGGAAAGGTGTCTAATCTGTGGGAGAAAAGTGAGTGATCAGAATTCACTCTTTGTGTTAGGAATATCCAGAGACGGTCTGAAAAGAAACGACCTGATACTAAATATAAATTACAAATATGACTGGGTAGGTCTGACAGGTTATAAGAATATAACACCTCCCGAGGGAACAGAACAGCGGAAATAACTTTCTCTTGTGAAGTTTGTGGCTCTGTGGAAGAAAAGCTTTTCCTCTGTAAAGCTTGAACTTTGCATGGGACAAACTGGGATTTCAAATATTTTTTCCAAAGATGTTATCTGTGCCCTGGCTGAATGGGGTTCAGCAATCTTAGAGAAATGGCAGGAAATCTATTTTAGAAAACTCCAGTATGTGGATTTTAAAAAAACCCACTGGTATATTTTCCAATGGAAGAAAACTGAATATCAGCAACTCTTGCTGTTTTGTCATGCATCTTGTGATATCTGGCATTCTCTTAAAGCCAGAAATTTTATTTCAATGTAATTGGCTGAGAATCTTGTCAAATACTTATTTTTAGAGTAATTGTTAACTCTTGTATAGTTGCAATGAAAGACTTATAAAATCATAACCTCCAAAAAATCTCATGCTGATGGTATGAAGGAAAAGTGCACATTTGTTAGATCTTTTTCAGAGGCTTTTTATTGTCCTTTTCTTTCTACTAATATTGTAATCTCTAGAACAGCAGCTGCTTATCTGAGGTGGGGTTTGCTGTCTTGATTTGGCTAAGGTGCTGGTTTATGGTTTTTCCTGACACCTGGGGTAGATTCCAACAAAGTGAACTGGGAAACTGATAATGGGATATGAAGCATTCTGTGTATTAACTTTGTTAGTTCATCTGAGCTCAGTAATGGGCAAAAGTTATTAATGAGTTATGCTGACTAAAGTATCTAGGAAAGAGACCTGTACTTAACAGTTCTTTTCAGTGGCTACCAGTGTAAAGTGTGGACTTTTCTGGCTGCAGTCTCCATGGATTGATAGTAGATTAATTCTCTGAGAGAAGAAGGATCAGAAAGGAGTACAGAGCCATGTAGAATTAAGGTTTTGCTTACTGTAGAAGACAGCTAGCTGGGTTTGAATTTTCATAAATAAACCTTAACAAGAATAACTAATTGAAATAAGAAATCTTTCCTATGTTGAGATTTTGCATTTATTTAACTTCTGCAGATCATCCTTCAAATGTTACTTGATGTAGGTTTCGGCTTCACTATTTGCTACCAATTTATTTTCTTGAAGACTCCAAAGAAGCACATATTGGGATTTCTGTTACTGTCTTTGCCACTGACAATGTGTGATCACATATATGTCATGCTACTTCTTTGTGTCCTAATTTACCTCACAAGATAATGTTTAGTGTTTCCAGAGTGCTATGAGATTTTTATGACAGCCTTGAAGAAAAATATTTGTTAAATTATTACTAAAACATACCAGATGGGAAAGATGAGAAGAGAGAAAATAGAGCAGGGTATTTCAAAACTGGGGGTGTACTATATTCATATTTAAAACTCATTAATTTTCAAGTGCTGAATACTACCAGCAATTTATTTTTTTTTAATATTGGGGAAAATAAAAAAAAAATCTGACATGTACTTAAATATTTAATGTTTAGAACTCCGGGGTGTGGTCAGCTTATTTTACGTGCAGCTGTGCTTGAAGTTCATCCAGTTCCATTCTGATTTGGACTGATTCATTAACTGGTTTGGGAGCCCCAGAGAAGTCACACTGGTTCTGCGTTGAGAAAGATAACACTTAAAAATGGGAAGATTCAAGTGAGAGGATGCAGTTAGGCCCAGAAGTCAAGATTTCAGCAACCTATGTCTTTAGTCCTCATTCACCTGATACTCTGAGGGAGCCTGCACAATTCTTGAAGTGAAGCCAGAGTTTCTTGCCAGTTTGCTGAACCTGGTGTATTGTGGAAGAGCTTGAGAGAGGCTACAACACTGTGCTGGGATATCAAGCAGTGCTGCTGGTTTGGAGGAGCAAATGAGAGTGTTTGGGGTTTGAAGACTGCACACAGGAGTAGAAATACACGCATGCACACACCTCTGTATCAAGAACATTAGGAGGGCTGGGGGAGAAGTGGGAGTTTGGGCTGGTGGGATCCAGCAGGCACAGAAACAACACAGTTGACTATAGTAATAGTATGCAGTTTGCAAGGGTGCTTGAACAGAAGTCAGAATACCATCCCCTTGAACTGGTTTTGTTTGAATGCATTTAGAGCAGATGTAAAAAGTCTTTGCACTAGAAATGTCATTGTTAGACTGTCCAAAGCAGGACAGCACAGTGGCACATAAATAAGGATTGGTGCAGGACATGTTCTGAGTTACACAGTGATGGGGAGAAGCTATAGTGTAATCACTGCTTGGCGCAAAGGGTCTTTTGTACTAAACAGGTACCACTTAGGGGAGACATCAGCTTTTAATCGAGTCATCATGCTGAAATGGTAGTGGAAAAAAATTCTCTAGTTTATGTGAAAAAGAAGTTAAAATAACAATCCAGATTCTTTTTTTTAATCAGCGCTAAGATTGGCTTCTGACTTCCTGTTCTCTAATGGGAAGGGATTAGGCCCTTTATGTTTTGAAAGAGACTGAGCCAATTCCTGTTGTGAAATTCCAGTGTTGAGATCAAATGAATGAATAAAAACACTTGGGAAAAACTTGATTTGTCAGAAAGCCACCTTCATTAGTGCTCTCATCTCTTTTCTGTGATAGAAATTGTTTTTCAACTATAATTGCATCTCACTGACAAAAGCTTCTGGCTACATATGTAAAGATTTGTAAAATACTGCTTTTCTGTAAGCTGGTATAATCTGTGCCAAAAAATAGAAACTCAGCCTCTGCATGTAAAGAGCTCCTCCTCCAGAGTTCAGTTTCAGTGACTCTATTGGTTAGTATTGTTGAGCTTTAAATATATTCTGCAGTACATGGTTTACTAGGCTTTGATGCTTGCTTTTGAAAGGCAGGAAAAAATCTTCCTTCAGAAATGTTTTACATAACATTGCCCTGTGCAGAGTTAAAGTGAATTAGTTACAGAAAAAGATATTAGCTGGCGCCAGTGAAATAAATGGTAAATGTCTCTTCACCGTCCCCTTTTCTTATATGCCTTTGGCTGCTCCTGTAAGAAATGCAGCAAGCAGGGGCTACTGCTCACACTATTGATTTAAGCATCTGCATGTTCTACACTGCAGCTCTGCACTGGCCTGTCTTCTGGGGCAATATAGAATGTCTTCAGTTGTATCAGATTTTCTGTTTGTACTTGTATTTCTGTCTTCCACATGAGGCTCTGTGCTGTTAAGTACATTGTTAAACAGTATTGTGTGCACTCATTGTTACAAAACAGTGGTGTAAAATACTTACAGTTCACAATCCCAGTGGTTCAGGGTTCCTATTCATAAACCTGTGCTGTGCTGGTGTTGATTCTTATAAAACCCAAAAGCAATAAAGTAATAAAAGCTAAAACTTGGCTGCTGTGTCTCTAGCATGAATGCCCCAGGGCTAGCAGAGCAGCATATTGTGAAAGGTGCTGTTGGGTCCTTTTTGTAGCAAAATTACTTGTCTGGATTTTTCTGACAACATCCCAGTTCCTTTGTTACAGGTGTGCCATTTATACATCTGGTGCTAAGAGAAATTAACCACATTTTCAAAATATTAGAATTCACTTACTAAAAAAGGATGACTGTTTTCCCTGTTTCAGGGTTCCTTTGGTTATACTGTTTTCCTCAGTTTAGTCTCTACCAGCTACACTTTAAATTCTAGCTGAGATGCAGAAATATACTGCAGACAACATGATGTTAGGGTTAAACATTTCAAATGGATTGTAATACACTGAGAAATTATGTTCTCTTCAGCCATAGTTGTGGTGAGCTTGGTGGGAACTTTGTT